TGAACTAAATGACAAAAGAGGTGATGGCACAAACGGAGTGGTCACTTGTCTAAAATAAATTCAGGTTCGCTTATCCAATAAACTGTAAAGTAATTTAGATTATTCTCTAAGAGTGTACAATTCTAGATTGTTCGTAGGCGTTGACACAATATAAACCTATGCTGTAGGAATTAGTCAGAGTAATTTCTCAGCGTAGGCTAATAGCTGAGTCATCGTTCTAGATATCTTATAGCTAAATATTTTGGTATAGTAAGTAACCCATAGTGATCACTTAAATTACTTATGATGATGGTCGAAACATAAATATCCCATACATCAAGTAATGCCGACGCCATTAGCTGATGAGTAATGTAAAAATGTTTGTGTGATACGCGATAACATCTTTTTATTATATTTATGGGGGATTATCTATAATATCTTTAGGATACGCCAAGGTCTTGTGAAGAAAGAAAGAGATAGACATAGTGTGTACTTCGGTACGTTGTTTGAGGTATCATCTAAAGAAATGACATCAGACTCGGTCATTGAATGAAGTTTCCAAAAAGATTAGGTTTGCTTTCTGTGGCCGAATAGATCAGCTCGACCAGAGTGGACAAAAAGGGGGATGGAGCTATAAAAGGTGTATAGCTCCATCCCTCTTTCTCGTCCGGAAGATTGACGCTTTAACGCGTCATGGTAGACCTAAAGGGCCTCAAAGAAAACCGGCGTGATACAATCGAAGCATTGTGTTTCGTCGTGTGAGTGGGTTAGCAGAGACCCAACCCTTAAAATTCATTTGGATAATAATATTAAGAATGTCGCATTGTAGTCGCATTTTCATTATCTTATAGCAGTTTTTATCCGACAACAGAAGTAGGTAGGAAGGAAGGAAAGTTAGATAACAATGCTACGCATCTAAGCTACGAATAGACGTCGTAATTTTATACGATTGTCCTCGGTACACATAGAAACTGTTGCCCGCAGACTGACATACTCACGACGAATGTGTCCGGCCTAGCATAGCCTCGTTTATGCATGACAGTTTTCTAGGTGACATAAGTAGTCTGTCGTGTGCTAACTTGCATAAAAAATCTTCTGTAGTTTTTCAAAAGGGACGAGCTATCCAACCTTAGTATCTATAGATAAATCTCCTTTGAGCCTATTTTCATTTTAGTTCCTGATATTTAATGCTTGCGACTTTTTTTTTGTTCTGTGCTTGCTAAGGCAATCCTTGATTAAGTAATTTTCATTCATTCAAAACTTCATTTCAAACGTGATTTTCATATCCTATCGTCACGGTTTTCTGTTAGGATAAATAGAGACAATAAAATGCCAAATGACTGTTTCGGTTCAAAACGATTTTTGCATTGAATAAGAGGTCACATTAATTGAGGCATACATTTTTGCGTTGCAGCCAAACTAGGATTTTCTCATACACATCATAGCAACTGGTTGCTCAGTCACTGCATCAGGCGTCCAATCAATATTACATATATGTACCAAAACATATATCTAAAGGACATGAACGTTTCTATCGTGGTAATTCGAGGAAAGAGGTTCGCCAAGCGAACGCCGGCGTTTGGTAAATTAATGAATACGAAAAACTTTCATACATCTAATGGTTCTTTTCGCACCGTTAAGTACCGAAATCAGTCGAATGAGTTCATTTAGCGATTTTGTACTGTTGTTGATGCTTTCACATTCCAATTTGTATTTATAATAACGCGTTTTTTGGTCTAATTCTCTGTCGAATATTTAATACAATTGCGCACCAATAACGGATTTAACTACTCACTGAGGATAATAAAGTAAATATAAAAACACACCTTCCTTCCGTCCTTCACTTACAGTGAGTGGGTCAATTTATGTTTGTAGGTCTGTCTAGCGTGACAGGCAATTTTATATGTACTTATTATAAATATAACATGCCTAATATTTGTGCCCCAATGTGTAAAATCCTCTTGGAGCCCCAGGCGAGCCATGACTGTCAAACTTTTACTGAATGACTACAAACCTTGGTGTCCCGTCTCCCACGTTGCGTGAGGGAAAGCATCAAATACGTTGGCAGCCCCCTCTCGTGACGGCCTATCCTGATAGGCCCCACCTCAAGATGCACGGGGAGGTAAGATGTGGATCTACACCAGCCATACTTAACCTGAGGTGATTATTCCCGCCTTCCAGACCAAAGCCCCACAGGCGCGCTGATGGCCTTTTGAGGGGAAGAGGAGAGGAAGAAAAGGGAGGGTTGGTATCACTCCGGTCGGGCAGGCCCAGTCATGCGAGCGTGGCTCTTCGCCGGTAATTTTTGCTTGAGGCCCGCGACACCATGACTAAGACATATTTGTGGCCCGTACCTATATAAAAAAAGGTTGAGTACCATGATCTACATTGTGCCTCGCCTCGCGGCGACGGCCGTCCCGGGTCCTGTTTAATGGGATAACGGAGTCTCCCCAAAGTCCTCCGTCTTCGGACCCATCTAAGGGGGTCGGAAGAGAGTAGCTTCTAGACTCCTCCCAATAATATAACGCACTTGATGTATAGGTAAAGTCAAATGTAGAATGTCCCAACATATAATAATTATTGGGCAAATGGCCTCGATTGGTCAGAGGATCCTCTTTATCAGATCTTAGGAAACTTAACATTTGTTCGTTCATAATATCACAGGATTTTTTCGTGTCTTGCTTCGTCATGTTAGTCAGATTGCTTAAGATCGTTTACCGGAGTGACCTACTGAAAAAATCGACTCTAATGACATAATAGTTAAGCCCATTTTATGTAGGACAGTAATTACGTATTGTAATTCCATTCTTTTGTGTTTCTCGTTGCTATTCTAAACGGAAAATTGTTTATAATAGTGATATGCCTAGTCCCTACAGCTAATCACCATGTATCACAAAACCTATTAAATCGATTACAAACTTTAGCTATTAATGCCACATTTATTATTTAGAATCATAGATCGGTATCGGAAGGTTATTGGCATTAAAATAATTATGTGAAAAGATTGGTATCTAGTGACTAATTAACTAGATTTTCTAGGTCATTATCCTTTCGTGTGGGCAATTGTATCGATAGCTTGTCTAGTTAAAATAATAAATTGTAATGATGTTACTAAATACGTTACTAAAACCAAATTTGTAGTAGTAAAAAGTAATAGGGTATAGTAATGAGATCTATATGTATACATTAAGCCTAAATAAAAATCGCATAATCTAGGGTAGCGAAAGAGAGTAAAGAATGATTGGGTCTCCGATAACGTCACTCACACGGAGAAACACAACTCCGCGGTTGTTTCACGCCAGTTTTCTGTGAGGCCGTGGTACCACTCAATCCGAGCCGACACGAGCCGACTGGGAAAACAATGCTACAGTATTACACAGTACTGTATTATGTACTGGCTACTCTCGCGCGGTTTCACTCGCTGCTAGGCTCCATTTAATCCTAGCGTGATGTTTTATAGCCTTTAGCACTCAGGAACATTGTAGCTATCTATCAGTGAAACAATTTTGGCAATCTGACCAGTGGTTCCAAAGATTAACCCCTACATACAAACTTATAAACATACAAACTTAGAAACTTACAAATTTTACCTCCTTATAATATAACTATGGATATCCTCATAATATTTTGTCAACTACACTTTATACTAATATTATAAATGCGAAAATAACTCTGTCTGTATGTCTTATTTTTTCTCGATATGTTTGCATGTTACTCTGTTCGTTTGTACCTAATTTGCATGGCGTGAGCCTGATTATGGCGATTTATAATTTCAATTAAGAGCATCTGGTTTACTTACCCATATTCTGCAAATAAAGAATTTGAATTTGAATTTTTTTCACGCCTAAACTACCAAACCGATTTCTGTGAAATTTGGTAGAGACATAGTTTGGAACTCTAATTAAGGACATAGGATAGTTTTTATACCAAAAATCTGCAGAAAGTCACTATTCCACGCGAATGGAGTCGCGGTCAAAAGTATAAGTGACACTTACACCCGGTTTCCGAAAGGCCGATCAATGTTAAAATCAATTAAATCTCTTGTCAAGTCATCTGATTGGTTGACTGAATTATCAACAACCAATCAGATGACTTGACAAGAGATTTAACAGGAGATTAGTTAATTTTAGCGTTGACAAGCCTTTCAGAAACCGGGTGTTAGGTCCTATTTCTAAGTAGGTACTACAAAATCAATATTTTATGCCACTTAATTATTTATCAAAAGCAAATTCTGTGGTGTTAACTATTATATAAAATCGATAGTTTTCAAGGCTAAGAAAGGTTAGACTGGTACAATAAAAAAAAACCGTTCACCTTATGAAGTTGTTTGACACAAAGGAATTGTCTCGTCACCGTAGCTAGAAAACCGAAGGTCAAATTGAACTGTGAAGAAGACGATGTCTGTATATGCTATTTACTATTTGTCCTTTATTGGAAAGAATAGAATGTCTTCTCCAAAAAATTGCCCATAAATTAGGTACATACCTATCTGTACTACATAATATAATAATTGGTATGTAGGGGGTAATCTTTGGAACCGCTGATCGGATTTCTAAAATTCTATTTATTATAAAATTCTAGAACTTTGTAACTGTAAGTTGATATACTTATAGTTACAAAGTTCTTGAGTGCCATAAATTATACTTGATTTGCGTACATATTTTAGTCGAGCTTTAAACGCTGCTGTTTTTAAAATCCCGGGATTTTTATACGTCATGAAGTCCAGGACGTCATGTATTCTAACGATTTTATCGATAACGATGATGATAAAGTCAATAATCACATCAATCATCATGTCCCGATTGTGTGCTACGAGAATTCCAAAATGATAAAATGCAATTTACTCTGCCATTCTAATGTATTTTAAGAAGTCTAGTAACTGAGTGAATCAAACTGAGTGAATCACTTATTTGATGCACTATCATTCCTTTTGTCGCGATGACCAGTCTCATTCTCTGAACATTGTTAAAAAAAGAGTGTGTAAGTTAAGTAGGTATTAATGAAGGTTATTTTGTTCACAGCCTGCTTCAATTACGACAACGTCTCTAAGGGGAAAGGAGATAAGAACGACGTCATGGAGAGTGGTAAGTACCTACTACTATTTTTTTTTTTATAAAAAAACTTTTCCCCATATTAGAATTTTCTCCTGTGTCGTGGGTCCGTTTACAAACATACAATTTTACACCACACCCATCTGGAATAACAATTTGTGGACACAAAGTCTTGTTCCGTGCGGGAATCCCACCCGCGACCGTTGCATGGCAGTCAGTTGCCTAGCCACCGCGCCAACCGTGCAGTCTTAGTTCTTAGAAAATAATTTAACTAAACACCTATAGAACTGCTGATAGGCTGATCTGGATGATTGATTTCAAGATTATAAAAGAAGAAAGTAGGGAATTATTCAAAGTGATTCATAATTCAGACTAGCTTTCACACGCAGATTCACCTGTGTGGTATGTTGATAAAATCGTACCACCACCGCAGCCTACGTGTTATTCAAGGATATCACCTATCTACATACCAAATTTCAACCAAATGGGTCCAGCAGTTTTTGCATGAACGAATAACAAATATACATCTGTACATTCTCAGAAACTCGCATTTATAATATTAATACGATAAAAGTATTGCAACCAGTCTGTATTAAAATTAAAATTTAAACAATGGATTTCTATTGGTGATCAGAAGCAAGAAGAAGAAAAACCTATTGTATTTAGCTCGACCTGGGAATTCGTAACACGTTGTGCAAAGCGTCTTGCAGAAAATACTGCAGATAGATTTTTCCGCAATGCAGAAACTATTTGACTAGTTACCTACCTGTTGAAGATGTCTATTCTTCAGTAACAGGACGATTGATTAATTAATCTGGCTATGTTTTTGGATGGAAATATTTTTCGTCCAAACAAGTTCATCTTACTAATACCAATTATAAACGCGAAAGTTTCTAAGTACAGATAGATAGATGGATGTTTGTTACTCTTTTACATAAAACAAGTTTTTTTTTGTGAGGGGAAAATCATCAAATGACTTCTCCCGCCAAGGGCCGGGCGGGAGGGAGTGTCAAACTCATACTGACTAAAAACCCCCCTGTTCCTCCTCCTGCTCTGGCCCGAGGTCGCGGTGCCTCATGGCGCTTACCGCAACCCCGGCTGACATAAAACTAGTGAACGCATCTGAATAAAATTTGGCACAAATATAGATTACAGTCTGCTTAACACATAGGTATGCTACTTATTACAACGTAAATTGCAATAAAATTAATAAAAAAAGAAACAGTTTCAATAAAAACTATTGTAGAAGTGACATGGGTAGGCATGCTCCATCGTAGGTCGCATGTCGTTTACCATCAGGCTTAATAGCGGTTAAAAAAAACTGACTACGTACAATATTTGGTAAGAAACAGAACTATTAGGTACTGCTATTCTTTGAAATAAGTACTTCATAGTTAATTTTGAGGCGGTGTTAGACACTTCAGTAAGGTATTTTCAGTAACTAGAACGAAATTAATAGAAGTACCTCGTAGTAATTGTTAGCTTGATTACGTGTTGGCGTCGGGAACACGCGACCGTTGTAAACGGTATACGGGCTCTGAGCCATACCTCACTATTTTCATTTCCATTACAAAAAGGCAATAACCTTACACTTTATTCGGATTATAGGGCCATTTCTGTTGTGACAGAGTTTGGTAGATAATTACACACCTAAATAGGATTATTACTTATGCATGTAGGTAGCCTATGGGATATAACCTCTTTTAAATAGCTAAGGTTTAGTTAAAGGGTCAATGGTCAATATTTCGAACACACCTTACCTTTTGGAAAGAAAGAAAAATCATTGAGTCATACGTAAGTATTAATACTTATAATATAGGATTGTTAGAGATTAAGTAACTGTGTGGGAGTGCTCGACCGGAGAGATACCACGGCCTCACAGAAAACCAGCGGGAAACAATCAAAGCGTTGAGTTTCACTGTGTGAGTGAGGTTACCGGACGCCCCTCCCTTATCCCTTCTCAATCCTTAAATATCCGCAACGCTTATCCCCAAAAGGCCGGCCACGCGCTCGTAACTCCTCTGTCTTTGTGGGTGTCCATTTGCGGTGCCGATTGCTTACAAGCAGTTAATCCGTTCGCTCGTTTGCCGACTTATTCCATAAAAAATTGTGATTCATTAAATAAAATTTTTAATTGCCAACATAAAGACTTAACAGTTTTGGTGTTGAGCTTCCAATTTGAAGTTGGCAGGGATTTTCGCTAGCTAGCTGCCAGCGAACTTGCGCCTTCGCCAAACATTGACATAGCTATCGTAGAATCGTATCGGAAGACATATACATATTTTTGGGGTTCGGCTTACTAAATACATTAATACCAACTTAAAAGCGAGATTTTCAATACTTTTATAGATAGAAGAATTAAATCATCGATACTTTTATCTGTTCACGCAGTAGTAAGGTTCTGCTTTGACTTTGTAGAAAGTGAATTTCATAAAAGTGTGGGGTTCCGCTCCACTAGCGGTCCTTAAAGCAAGCTGATTCGTCGATATCAAATCTTTCTTTACAATAGTAGGAAACTTAAATTGAGACATTTAGGTGGAACATTTAAGTGCGGGAAAGCCATGCTTCCAAAGCGTTGTTTCGCTGTGTGAGTAAGGTTACCGGGGGCCCAATCTTTCCCCTCCCCCAATCCCTACCTAATCCCTACTCCTCAAAAGGTCGGCAACGCACTCGTAACTACTCTATGGGCGGCGCTAATTGCTTACCAGCACGTAATCCGTGTGCTTGTTTGCCGATATATCACAAAAAAAAATATTTAGGACATACATTGGCATCTAATCGAACATTATAAAACTTTAGACACCTCACAGTCATAAAAAAAAATGTTGACATTTTTATTCAAACATGAAATAATTTATTCACCTGAAAGGGAAACAGGTCTTTTGGTAACAAAATATATTAACAACAGTTTTTTTTTCATTTAATATTTTCACGGTTTTCGTGGCAGTAATGTTGATACCATTAATCAAGTTTTTATAAGAATTCTAAGTTGATTAATCCACATAGTAGTGAAATAGGGTTGTACGTTAACTAGCTTTTTTTTTCATCACGTCGTCGTGTCGCGTCGGTCGAATAGTTGCACTCTGCTAAGCAAGACTGCCTATAGCTAGTGTCAATCGGATTCAATTCTTTGGTCGGTCCGAACTTTATGCTTTTACAGATTTGCATTCATAGTTCAAAGTTTAAATTTGCAGTGGATAGCAATAGATCCCTGTTATATGAAGCACACAAGATTTTAAGCAAAAAATTTAAATTTTTCATAAAGTTGACCTGATATAATCACTAGAAACTGGTTACCAATCTTTTCTAAGGATAAGTTTAAGACGTTAACCCTATGATAGCATTTTTCCTGGGAAAAAAATGCATTCACAAATATTCAAGGTCACATACACATAACGTAGTAAATCACCAAAGAGAATAAATTCCGAATTTCGTGCGAGAATCAAATCCATGACACGTCGCACAGCAGCCGGTGGCACCGGTCCATAAGCAATAAACTCAAGAAATACTGAAATAATTTTCATATGAACTCATACAAAGGGAGTTCATACAAAAAGCTAGAAAGTAGAAACTAATAATAATGTTGTCAATTGTAGTAGCCCTATACGATTGCCTTGAACTGTTCTAACTGTAACAATAAATTAATTTTTAAGTTTAAAAACATTGTTTGGCGGTGTTTCCACAGATTTCGTACTTAGATTTTCTATTTTTCTTTGTTGTAATGAAAAGAATGATACGAGACCACTGCCTCACAGAAAACTGACGTGAAATACCATACGAGGTGAATCGCCGTACGAGCGAGATTACCAAAGGCCCAACCCTTTCTCTCCCCTATCTCTCCTCAATCGCGAAATATCCAAATCCCTAATCCTAAAAGGGCGGCAACGCACTCATAACTCCTCTAGTGGTGTCCTTGGGCGGCGTTGATTGCTTATCATCAGGCAATCAGTCCTTTGGTTTTCCTGGCTCCGCACCATGGTCTCGACTCAACAAGGCCGGACGGTAGAAAATAAGGGTTGCCGTGCAAAGCGCAATAATATACTGACTGCAGCCATAGTCCAGAGCAGGAGAAGGCACGAAGTGGTTTTAGTCAGTAATAGTCTGACACTGACTGGGGGGTAACCATGTCATTCAAAGTAAGAAGGTAAGAGACAGAGCTAGACAACTTGGATAGCTCTTTCTCTTACTGACACTGAAGTAAGATTAAAACAATCTTACTTGGAACGTCATGGTTACCCCCTGATGATTTTCGCAACTCAAACAATATCACAAATATCATAACTAAGAAAAATTTCAAAAATTATAGGTATTATTTTTATATCAATGACTAAGTATAACGATATAATATAGGGTACCTATCTATTGTTGAACTCTAGTACTTTTTATTTGTTCTTCCATACTGAGATATGTTTGTATAATGTATAGTGTGAAGGCAAATTATAGCTACTCGCGGTTTCACCCGCTGCTCAGCTCCATTTGATGATGTTTTATAGCCTATAGCACTCAGGAATATTGTAGCTACCTATCAGTGAAAGAATTTTGGCAATCCGACCAGGGGTTGCTAAGATTACCCCCTACATAAAAACTTACAAATTTTACCTCTTTATAATATTAGTATAGATTTAAGCATCACTCATAGAAATCTATAAGAATATATAGGCAATACTAGGATACACTGGTATCTATACAAGGAACAGAGTTTATTGCAGAGCCAAAGCTAGGTTATATAACACTACGGATGCGAAATTTTAAATCAATACTCTGGACCGGGACGGTGGTTCATTCAGGAACTAATCCGGTTACCAAGACAATGCATACTGCGGTGATTTTGCACGTTTAGCGTGACTTTTCTTCACACATAAACGTTTAGATAAAGCACAGTTATAGCATAAATAATTGTATAGGAAAGAACAATATTAACATTGTTACGAGATGGTTATTCAAGGATAATGGAAGCAAAGTTTAGAATGTTTCAATTGTAACAAGGGTCGGCACGACCTGAGTGATACCACGGCCTTACAGAATTCCAGCGA